AAATTAATAAGGTTTAGACATATTAAAAAAATTTCAACAAAAGTGCTAATTGTTGTTAGTTCTAACCGAACCTTGCCCTCTTCTAAGTCTGAAAATGATAGTAGACCATGTCATTTTGACACTCAAATTCTAACCAAATTGTTTAAATACTAATTGCATGTTCTCGTACTGTTGGTTGCCTCTAAGTGAGTACTTGAGTATGGCTTAGGTGGTAGTGGTGTTGAGTGTCACGATACCCTCGCAAAAATTGCCCGAACCTCGTTAAAACGTATCAAAGTTGTGTCCTTGGCGCTCTGTTAGTGAACTGATGTCAGAGCGACGAGCTCACATTGGCATCCATCTACCTCCTTCCTTGGTGGTCCTCTGGTCATAGCGATGGTGTTGCTAGGTCGTTGGCAATATGGACTTTACAATAGGGGAGTTAGTTGAACCTCAACTGTGATCGTTAGTTACTTTTACAACGCTTTGAAATGTGTGCACGTCACCTAGGGCAGCCGCTTGGACTAGGTTCACGGTCACCGCGGGCACAACATGGTGGCGCCAGGGTCACGTTGTGACCAAGTCGTGGTCGCCGATAGCACATGCGTCAGGCCCGTGCCACGCTGCGCCCAGGTCTTGTGTGGCTGACCCAGCTAGCAGTGGTCTGGTCACCCAGTCACGGTGTGCGCATGCCAATGCCAGCCACCGGGCTATGGCGAAGCTATGGCTGTCACCGCCTTGCTATCGTGGCGCTTGCCCCACCTTTCATCCTACCTACCGCGTTGAGTCTTTGGACATGTGCCGCTGCCGCCACGCCTCGGTCGACGACCCTGGTCACTGTGGTGATGAGATGTTTCCTTGCCTCACCCGCTAGCCGACGCCGGAGAGCCCCGCTCGGGTCTTGTCGCTCCATTCAAGCGCGTCGCGCCAAGCCCATGAACCGTCACATTATTAGGTGCTCCATAATAATTAGTTTGCTAAAGTAGCTAAATGAGCCCTAGTTCAAAAATATATATTTAATCAATAAAATGCCAAAACACATTAGGGTTGTAGAACTAAAACATTTTCTAGAAATGAGGCCTTATTTGATGACATGGATACGTAGCCTAGTACGTTAGTCATTAGAGCTAGCACATTTGCTTGAGAGGCGTAGTCGTGTTTTTAGAGTTGCGGTTGCCGTTGGTTAATTACGTTTTCCATGTTGCATCTGCGAACATCATAATAGGAAACGATGGATCTAGAGTCGATTAGAGTAGTAGGAGGATGGTGCCTTGGTGATCGTGTCGCCACGGTGGAATGCAAATCCTTGGTTATATCTTGCCCAGGCAAGCCCTGGTGCATAACCCCTATTATTCAGCACCTTATTTTATGCTTGTGCATTAAGTTTTAAGGAGTTGAATGAAAACCACTTGCATATATATATCCTTATCCTATGAGTCCTACTAGTATGTCAGGATCGTGTAGATTGCTATGCTATAGGATCCGGTAGAAGTCGAGTGATTACCTGTCACTCGTGAGAGATAGGAAAGATATTATTGTTGTTATTATATTACTATAACACGAAATATATATGGAGGATAATTATAGACCGGGTGGAATGGTACTTTGAATCTAGACTTGGTTAGGCATTCGAGCGAGGCTCGGATTGCGCTTGTTCCGTCTGTGTCGATTGAGGACCGTCCATTGCTGTGGATGGTAGTAAGGTCACAGACTTATTATCCTAAGCACATACTTGCTTATGAGAGCGGGAAGGCTCATTGCGCTCTTGTCGTGGGTTCTGGCTCTTTTCGGACTGACTGATTGAAAGCGGGGAAAGGTGGAGGTTTAAGCACCATGCTGAGACCGGGTCTCAAGTGTGGGGCTTAGAGTCCAAGTTTGGACGGGGACCTGGACTCCGTGACAGGAGCGGAATGGGTTGGTCTCATTTGTGCCTGGGGTACAGGCGGAGCGTGTGTTTCGGGGTAACCAGCTGGGATACATTGATTCGTGAATCGCCATTTCTGTGAGACGGTACGACTTGGCTATGGTCTAGCACCGTAGTAAGAACTGGAACTTAAAAGGTGATAAATGGTTCTGATTGCTTACCACCTGCTTGAAAGTAACATAGGTGCTTATATAGAATGGTTAGTTAATGAACGAATGATGTCTGCTAATAAAATTGAATATAAGGACACACGTTTAGTAATGCTTCCTGTAGATGTAATAACTCACAAGCCAGATAGCCTTGCATATCCTTGTAGTATTTTATTTTTCCTCCTATCGGATAAGTCTTGCTGAGTACAATCGAGTACTCAGGGTTTTATTCCCCCTGTTGCAAGTGACCGATGGGTGGTAGAAGGCTTTTGTGTGTGGAAACCTCCTGGTGGGCTCAGCGATGATTTACTTACGTTGCTGACGTAGAGTTCATTCAAAAATTTTACAAAATGTTTTGCAAAGGAAAAGACTTACGGCCTGTTATCATTCCATGTATATAAATGTTTCTCATGTTAGTGCTTAACCTTGTCGTTATATACATTTCCGCTGAAAACTCTGATAACATTGTTATTTTTCGCTGTTGTAATCAATTGAGGTAATATTCTGCTACTGTAATAAAATGATGTAAGAAATGGCTTAAAATATTATAAGCTTTATTCTCCTATTTTATGATCCTGATGGAAAAATATGGATTTTCGAGCTCTCCCTTGGGGTGTGCTCGACGGAACAGCACGAATTAGTGCACTCTCTTGGGTACTTAGTGTCTAATGGAAGACAAGTACTCTTGAGAGGACATTAGATTAAGCGGTTCTGCCACAACGTAGAACCCGACGGTAAACGCAAAGAGACGAATGATTTATATTGGTTCGGGCCTTATTGTCGAGTAATAGCCTTTACATCCAGTCAGTGTTTAGCCTTTTGCGTTGGATTGATTGTATGATTGTTAGGGTTACAAGGGAGTGTGCCGTCCCTCTCTTTATATAGGAGAGAGGGTAAGGACATGTATCTAGTCCTAGTCGGGTACAAGAGAAGAGTTTTAGTCTTATTACAGAATCCAACTTTTATAGTAAACCGACTAAGTTGATTTGGAATAGCTTGAAATCCACGCCACCTTGTCTCGCATCCTTCAACAGATCGTGGCCCATCACAGGGCCCATCCGGGGAGTACCCCCATGGGAAACCCGTAGGACCTTGGTCCGTCAAACGCTGGCTAGGATCATGGTGTGGTTGGCGTCAATGGCTACCTAGATCAAAGGGACATGACTGTAGGCCTCGGAGCGATAACGACAATATGTTGTTGCAGACGTTGCAATTCACCAAGCGTGACATGGTGGATGTCTATGAAAGTCTGAGAGAGGTATTCTTGTCTTTTCGCATAGACCCCACACATTGACTAGTTGACATGTCAAGCCAAGCAAACGAAATCTATATCCCTTATAAAGTAAAACCCAACTATAATATTTCTCTGCAATTCCGTGAAGCCACCTCATCTCGAGGCCCGACCAAACCACTAAGCTCAATTATAAATTACACTCCCGCTAAATATATTGAAGGAACGAAGAGACATGAAAATAATTGCTGCAAAACCATAGATAAATCAAGGGGTCATGCAATAGTTTACGACTCCACGCAATAAATTGATTTTTTTAATCAGTTAAGTTAATTGGTAATGTACGGAAGATGTCTAAAATATTTTATCTTGCTTGCTCATTGTAAATTATATGGAGGGTCCTAATAGAAATTATGTTTTACAAAGTACAAACCACCTGATAATCATTTAATATTTCCCCTCTAAGATACAATATACGTTCATTGCTTTTCAGCTCTCTAACACTTTTTCCATTCATAAAAAATCGTCTCCAAAAATCCCGCAGCAGTGCACGGAGAATTCTCTAGGTTGATAAGAATGTTAGATATCTTCTCTCTCTAGTGGTAATTTATATAAATGGAAATGATTTATTACGGGCGCGCACACGTTAGCCCACGTACTCTCTCTCTCTCTCTCTCGGCGACAACCTCATTGGTGAGCACCCCCTCGCACCCTTGCCCGCGCCTGCGCCCCACCGCCTCCCCACACGCGGCCATGGCGGATGCGGCGGCGACGACGGATCTGCGCCAGGTAGGCCTCCTCCTCTCTCTCTCTCTCCTCCTCCCGGATCTGCTTTCTAGGGTTCCGGCGAGCTCTCCCCTTATCTTCCCCAACTCCGACAGGTATAGAAAGGGCCGGCCGGGGGAGGAAGGCCGGCCAGGCGGTGGGGATGGCCGCCGAGTGATTTAGGGGAGCTAGCGGCAGCAGCGACGCCCGAGCCAGGTCGGGGCGCACGGAGCTCCGGCCATGGTGGCAGCGGCGTCCATGGCGGCGGCGGGGGGGAGGGAAGAAGGTGGCTATGTGGGCGAGTTAGGGTTTCGCCGGAGCTCTGGGGCCGCGGCCGCGATCACGGAGCTTCGGCGGGGGCGCCGGAGTCGGGGAAGAAGAGTTGTCGTGTGTTTTCCCCCCTAAAAACTCGTGTTTGGGAGGTGTGCGCGTTGAACTTCTACGCCCGCACGCTCTAGCAGCGCCTTTATATATGTGTCCTCATTACAAGAGAGTACACTACGTTAAGATATCCCCTCGAGCCGAAGTTTTTTCAGTTGGAAGCTTCGGGCCCGCAGCTGCACGCTGCAGCCTACTTCACATTCCGTGTTCCTATACGGGCCCACTGCACAGTATATCCGAAGCAAAACCACGTGCTTCAAATCTGAACGGTCCAGCTCGTCCTGTCTCCCTTGTCCCTCCGATCCCAGTCGTCCATTCGCTAGGGGTATAGGGTTTTTAGCTCCGCCTCCCACCTCCAGCTCCCCCTCTCTTCCGCCATCGCGTCGTGAACGGCGGCCAGAAAAAAGAAAAAAAAAGGACAGCGCGCCGCACCAATTTCCCCTTCCCTATCGATCTACCCTGCAAGGTTTTATCCGACAGAATTCCACCAGAAATTCAGTGAAGTGCTAATCGCCTGCCTGCCCGGTCTCGTGGCTCTGCGCTGCTCCCGCTGTGGTGAGAAACCCTAGGAATGGTGGAGGTTTCGACGGCGGCGGCGCCTGAAGGGGTGCTGCACCGGCGGATTGAGTTCCACCCAGCGCGGAGGCCGCATGCCTCTGTGGCGGTGGGGGGAGGCGGGTTCCGTATGGAGACGCTGAACCCTGACGCCGCTGGTAAGGCGGGGGCCGGGGCGGCGGTTGGGAGCAGCGAGGGGGAGGCGAGGAGGCCGGAGAAGGCGGACTCCGGCGGGATCGATCCGGAGCTCAGCGTCGCAAGGATCTACCTCGGGAGAATTGTGAGTGCCCAAAGTTGTAGTCTTTTTGAGGATTTGGACTATTGAACTTTCAGTTTTTTGTAGGGGTTTGGGCGGCACATTAGCAGTACCTGGTTTGCCTGCCACTAGAGCTGTCAATTTGGGTAACTGAAGTTAAAAGTAGCTGGGATTTTTGGTTATTTAGTTATTCAAAGTGCTTGTTTTGTTCACGCCATGGTAATTTCGTCAGGTTTTAGTGTGGTGGAGAATGGTTTGTAAATTGTAGTTCCTTGATGTCTTGCAGGGTGCTGGTTTGGAAAATCTTGGGAATACCTGCTACCTCAACTCAGTTCTGCAATGCTTGACGTACACGGAGCCGTTCGCAGCCTATTTACAGAGTGGGAAGCACAAGTCCTCATGTAAGTGCTGTTGGTACTGTCAACTAACCGGCTCGACACACGGCCTGTTCGCTGGTTGGTTTCTGGGCTGATAAGCCTGGTTGGTGCTGATTTGTTGTGAGAGGAAAACACTGTTGGCTGGCTGATAAACCCTGGCTGAAACCAACAAGCGAACAGGCTTTTGTCAGATGACAATGTTACATACGAGCTTGTGGATTTCAGAGGCAGCAGTAACTGAACTGAATATTATACGCAGCTGGAAGTTAAGCTAAACCAATTTCATGTACTATTGTCATTTATTGGTGTGACACCAAAGACAAGAGTACCTCTAATCCTTCATTGCCAAGACTCAAATGGGACAATGTTATTCGTTTTTACTCCACCGCCCAATTTCACCATTTCTTCAGCCTGGATCTTGTTCAGCCAACTAAGATGCAATCCCATATCATGCATGGAACTTTCTCTAATGGTTGATCCAAGTTTAGAGCTGCAAGTTTTTGCAGCATGGGGTGACAACTGAAAAGTTGTCTTTTAATGACAATGATGGATAAGAAGCCCACTCTTCAAAAAAGACTACCATGAAGTTGTTCACTAGTCTGAACATTGTACGTAATATCTATCGTAGTTAATACATTTTGAGATCCCCAGTCCTACACCAATTTATATTTTCTGGCTATCTGATGAGCCACGTACAATGAACAAAGTATTAAGTAAGTTCATACCGGAATGTTACTTTTTTTGTGTTCCCTCTAGTTGGATGTATTCAATTCACTGTACTCAATGTTCAGGATTCAAAGTTGACCAGTCTCATGTGTGATGAGTTGATTGCTCTTCCTGTATTTCCAAATCAGTCATCCCGCTGGTACCGTATTTGACGTTGTTCATCTTAATACAGGATCTATTTCTTGAAGATGAGTGTGCGTATGTGTATTCACTAGTGGGGTGTGGTATTTTTTGTATATACATATACATGATGCATCAAGTATTCAAGTTATTCGTTGTAAACTTGTTACTTGTTCCCTATTTAGTTATGAGATAGTAAGGCAGCCAGACAATGCTTTGCACTTGTATCTGCACTCTGGAAATTGATAGGAAATCTGCTATCTGATGCTTAATCATCATTTCTGTGCCTGGATTTCTCATGGCATGACAAATGCCATGCTTTCCTGTATGTTTGTATGTGAAATATACCACTAGTATGGAAACTCTTACTGATCTGTTGTAAATCACCATAACTGCTATAATTGAGCTGTTGTTCCATAACCATGATGCATTTCTGTATGGAGTAGAAATAATGCTACTGATTAAGTATGTTTTCATTACAGCCTTTTTAGAAATTGTTAAACAAGCAAAAATCTACTCTTATTTTTGCACTGTGAGGTGTTTGTTTTATTGCTGTTGCTAATTTTTCTCTCTTCCCCTGAAGGTCGGACACCTGGATTTTGTGCATTATGTGCTCTTCAGAATCATGTCAAGACTGCTCTAGAATCAACTGGAAAAATAGTGACACCATTTCGTATTGTCAAGAACTTGCGCTGTATCCTTTTGTCTTCTCTGTGAATTAAAATGACTGAAATCATTTTAAAGTTAGGTGATTCTGCAATCTTGCTTTTATTCTATAACCAGAATTGGATCTTTAACTGCACAATAGGCATTTCTCGCACTTTCCGCAATTCAAGACAAGAAGATGCACATGAGTTAATGGTTAATTTGCTTGAATCCATGCATAAATGCTGTTTACCTTCTGGGGTACCGAGCGAGTCTCAAAGTGCTTATGACAAAAGTTTAGTTCACAAAATATTTGGTGGCCGCCTTAGAAGTCAGGTATGCTCTGTGCATTGTTGAAGTTAATCCCTTGGCTGGCAGAAGAGACCGCATTCCCTTATCACTAGTTGGTCACCTTATCTGTGCTTACAGGTCAAATGCACGCGTTGCTCACATTGCTCCAATAAATTTGATCCTTTCTTGGACCTCAGTCTTGATATTGCCAAGGCCACGACTTTAGTGCGGGCACTTGAAAATTTTACTGAGGATGAGCTACTAGACGGGGGTCAAAAGCAATACCAGTGTGAACGTTGCAGGCAGAAAGTTGTAGCAAAGAAACGGTTTACAATTGATAAGGCTCCCAATGTCTTGACAATCCATCTGAAGCGCTTCAGCCCTTTCAATCCTCGTGAGAAGATTGACAAAAAAGTGGACTTCCAACCGATTCTCGATTTGAAACCATTTGTTAGTGACTCTAAAGTGAGTAGTTTGTTTTGAAATTCCTCGCTTTATGTTGTATGCTTTCAGTTAACTTATCTTTAGCATTTTCATCTTGTTTCTCATAGTATTATCATTCATCTTGATTATTGGTGCAGGGTACAGATTTTAAATACAGCCTTTATGGTGTCCTAGTCCATACAGGTTGGAACACTCAATCAGGTCATTACTATTGCTTCGTTCGTACATCCAGCGGGATGTGGCACAATCTTGATGATAACAAGGTCTAGTATGACTTTAGTCTTTCCATGAAGTTGTGCTCATTCTGTTTGTAGTTCACAGTGCTACTACTAAATTCTACTTTGCACACTCATTTAGTATCCATGTAATTAACATTTATCAAACTACTCTGAGATTTTTTTTCATGTTTAAGTCCTCTAGCTCCATGGACACTACAAAGTTTGTCTGGTCTACAATTTTATTCTCTACCGTTTAAAAGCTTTATCGATGTCTCACACAGTGCATACACCAATTTAATTTGTTATTGAATCCTCCAAATTCTCTTCAAAGCAGCGAGTGTTCTTTAGTTTGTTGCTCTTCAAGAATATACTATTATCTCCATGGTTCTTAAGGCGTTAAGTCGACAAGTGGTGACCAACTCCCTCACAACGCCTAGCCACATACGGCACATGGTGAAGCGACGCCATAGACATATCCTAAAACAAACTAAGGTAATAAGTAGTCACAAGATTACTAGTTGTCCACAATTTCACACCACATTACAAAATAAGGTAATAAGTACTCCCTCTATCCCGCTATAGAAGGCGCAACTCCCTTCCACAGAAAGACCAAGAAGGACTTTTACTCCATCTAACAACTAATTTACTGTGCGTTGATGGCCGTGCAACTGTTTTTTTATTCACACGTTTATTCGGCCATCTCTCATCCAGGCGCGCTTGGCCAATCAAACGCTTGCTCCACGGTGCAGTAGCATGCACGCAGCATGGTAGTAGGAACAATAAATGGTGCATGTTTGCATGCCCGTCAAAAAGGAGAGTGAAGTGAACCGCACCCTCTATTACGGGACACATGGAATTTTTCAACAATCAACACCCAACTCTTGGCTCTCATCTCTCGATATCCGTCGTCGTCATCAAACTCATTAGCATTGTTAGCAGCACCCAAGTATTCTCCCATCTTTTTTCTTAGTTCAGTATTAGCCTCTGGACATGGAATCACATCTCCATAGCCACCAGCTAGATGTTTCTTAAACCTTTTAATTCCTCCTAGAATCCTCTTGTTGCAAAGCTTACATGTTACCTTATCTCGCTCCTTAGGGTCTGCCCAATAGCCATAATCCCATATTGGATCTTTCGAGTTCAGTGGTCTTCGTTTTGGGTCATTCCTGGGATCATATGCAGCTGGACTCCCCACTCTGTTGTTGCCTTGTTGGCTGCAGAGCAGAGAAGAGCCAAGCACAACTAGTCAAGCTGTAAGATTAAGCAGAGCCAAGCCAAGCCAAGCCAAACTCAAACAAGCACTAGAGTAGAGGAAGCACAGGCAACAGAGCAGAGTGAAGGCAAGGGAAGGGAAGACCTAGGCACTAGGGTGATGAAATGGATTGAGCATGCGCTGACTGGAGAGAGGAGGGGAGAAGCAGAGCCGCGGATGTGCGGAGACCGGTGGAGAGGCGAGGTCATACGGATTAGGGACCAGCGGATCTGCACGGGATCAAGGTTGTAGACAGGCGGAGATGCCTGGGGATCCGCTCCAGGTTCTACCGCGCTGCCCTCTCTTTCCCTTTCTCTTTTCTGTTTCCTTCTCGATTGTGCCTTGATTAGCTGATATAGCTGCTCGAAACCCTCGATTTCCTGCCCCCTCACTCGGTTTCCCTCTTGATTTTATTCTCCGCCCACTCATCCCTTTCGTGCCTGGCACCTCTATGTCCCGCGAGACCACACCTATGGCGTCCGCCTCCATCCTACAGGATGCCCAGCCGATGCCAACGCGGACTTCTAAAGGCGAAGCGAACGCCCAGAACCCAGCACACGCCTGGACAATTAGGCGATGCCTTAAGAACCATTATTATCTCCATATCAGAAACATTAATACATATTGCTGAACTGAGATTTCTGTTTCAATGTTGCTCATGCAAGTTAGCCAAATTGTTGGTTTAGGGGTTTTAGAAAGTGTTACCGTAGATTTATTCATGGTTCCCTGTCATTGATGTCACTTACTATCCTGTTTTGATACATTGCTTTTGTTCATTTGATGGAGAAGAACCATTGGCTAGATTGGCAACAAATGAGAGAAGAATTGTATTATATGATGAGCTACATTGTGTCATGTGTGCTACTTTCACTTTGTGCCCTTTGGCTACTTTGGCAGACTCTAGTTTTTCCTCACACAGATTCTTATGGGCATCAACTGCAGGTGCGCCAAGTTCGTGAGGCAGACGTATTGAAGCAAAAGGCTTATATGTTATTTTATGTACGTAACAGTGTTCAAAAGTCAGTGGTCCGCAAAGAGAACATCACTGCTAATTTGCCCATGAAGAAAACCCCTGAAAAGATCTCAAGTCTGAATGGTATTACCCAAAGCAGTGTAAAAGCACAAAATTTGAATGGTGTGTCTCGGTTTGGTGATAAGGCGCACAACACAATCATTGGCTACTCTACAATTTTCAGCAAGACTATAACAGGCCATTGTTCAAAGAATGAGGTCAAAGCTGAAGATGCTCCAGCCTCTCAAAACAATGCCCTGCCTTCCAGACAAGCCCCTGGAGCTCAAAATAATGGTGGTACCTTGCCAACTAAACCGATGCAGGTTGCTGTAAATAGTCAGGAGACAGCTTCCTCCCACCAACCTGCACCATTTACAAGTACTTGTGGTGAACAAGCAGTTGTTGGGAAGCCCTTGCAGGAAATGGAACCTAAGGCTGGTGCGGGGAAAAATACTTCTGTTGTCTGTGTCATTGCTAATGGTGCCGCTACATTGTCCAAGGCAGACAAACTAACTTCTCAGCCTCAAACAGCTCCATTTTCCGAGCCAGCTCCCCATGTAAATGGCACAGCTGCAGAGTTTGTTGCACGGTCTTTATCAAAGAAGGTTTGTATGATGGTCATTGTATGTTTTTCTAAATGACTTCTGAAGGATTCATAGCTTATTTTATTTCGTGAAAATTCCAGGATTCTGTTGTTTCAAATGGTGTCGTGCCTGGCATTGGATGTCTCACTTCCAGTGAGAAAGCAAGGAACTTTCCAGAATCTGTGGATCAAGCTAATGAAACCTCGAAGGCACTTCCTATGAGTCAGGTAGCGCCCCACTTTTCCTCCCTCACTGTGCTCCTTTGTAGATGAACTAAATCAAAATAGTACCACAATTTTGTTAAACATGAGCTGATTTTTATTATATTTGTTACATGTGTCTGTATACAGAACAATACTGCACCAGTAATTGCTCAAGCAGACTGTGGAGTAGAGATCGGCTCTGGTGGTATTATGCATGTTGCCGTGGCTGCTTCATGCAATGGAACTACAGCGAAAAAGGTGAATTTGAAGCCAAAGAAGTTTGTGAGGTATCCTGTTGTGAACATGTGGTTAGGGTCCAGGCAACTGTTGCTAGCTTCACTAAAGCCAGGGAAGAAAGCGAAACATAAGAGAAGTAGAACTAGAAGACGTGCTGTAGCTTGTAAGGACGCGGCAAATATATCTTGTTTGAATGAGCAGTTGACATCAACATCGACCACTGCATGCTCTGAAACTGTAGAATGTACCTCCAGCCGTCAGAAACAATCACATGCTAGTGCAAGGTCCAAAGATGATATCAGGTCCTCCAAAAAGAAGCAGAAGGTCGATGGAGCTTGTGTTGGTGCTGGCACAAGTGCACCTTCTGGCAGTGCCGACATTGCAAAGTCTGATCCAAGCTCTTCTGTAGATGCTAATAAGTTTGTAGCAACCCGAGCTGTCAGTATTCGCGCAACAGACCTGATGGAAGCTACTGGTTAGCTCTTCTCTTTGCAGATGCACATTTTATTTTAGACACAACGTACTGTTGTGCCATCAATTCTAACCTGTGATTTGTTTGTTTGCTTGATTTTCAGTTCCGTGCTGGGATGATGTAGACATGCCAAATACAAAGGTTGCTGAGCGGCAACACTCCAAACGCAAGAGCATTGGTTATATCTTAGATGAATGGTGAGCTTTTATCTTTTACAGTTTATTGTGAATACATCTACTAATAGTCTGTCATGTCTTGTATTCATGTTTGAAACGTCCGCATGTACTTCGGACTTCACCATTTTTGAAGGGAACAAATACTTAAATTGAGCTTATGTTCACTTGGCCTCTTTTTTTACAGGGACGAGGAGTATGACAAAGGCAAGACAAAGAAAGTACGGAAATCAAAGCAAGACTTTGGCGGGCCAAACCCCTTCCAGGAGGAGGCAGACTACATATCGCAGCGGAGGATGAAACAGAAATCCTACCAAGGCAAGTCTTGGAACCAGCCTAACACCATAGAGGAGTTGAGAATATGAGAGATGATCCCCGGGACACACATGCTGTTTGTTGTTTCGTTGTAGCACCCATTGGTGAAAGAGTTTATGTTAAAATCATTCGTCGTCGATAGTCCATAGTTGTTGCCATGCTGTTTTAGCAGTTTTGATAGACATTTGAACATGTGTTCGGTTGTAACGGACTGTTTAGTGGAACAAACGAAGTGAGATTGGTTTGTTGCACCTGCTGTTGTTTAATTACTGAAGAATAAAATGATGGTGATGATCAATTATATGATTCAGTGCCTGCCAATGCTGCAATGCTATCTTATCCTGGGAATAAATACTCGTTGCATTTGGAATGTAATTCTCCTGTTCTCTTGACTGTGCTGTAACTGTAAGTGTAATAGAGGTTGCAAGGCTGTCGAGATGAAACGAGACGGCGCGGCGCTGCTGCAAACGTATTTCCCGTTGATCTTGTCGGGACCAGACCGGTGGCGTGGTGTTTGTAGGCTTGTAGCTGGTGGTTCCACTTGTTTTTTTTAATAATATAACAGGTGATCCCACACGTTAATGGAGAGCGGGGGAGTACGAGGCAGTTCACAAGCTGGATGGCTCCATGGCCGCATGGTGTGGTGTCCCGCCCTCGACCGGGGAGTAATTGCGGCAACGGGCAGTGATACGGTGGTCGCGTGACGGACACCGCGCGGCGGCGTTGGTCCTGGTCCCTGAGGGCTGAGGGGAAGGGAATCCGTCTTGGATTCAGCTCTGGTACGGTGGCTTTGGGACGCCGCTTGAATGCGCGACCGGGCGCCGGTACTCTGGCCCGCCGGCCGCCGTGCGGTGCAGTGCTTGGCGTCGCCGGCGTGGCCAGCAGCGCCAAGACATGCTGCTTGCATTGTGGTGGGAAAAGTTCGAACCGGCCACGGATGGGCGAGAAGAGATAGATAGTACGACAACAGTATGCCCAGCTAGCCGTGAAAGTTTAAACTTGCCTGACGATGAGTCGCGAAAGCCAAGGCACCGCTGAAATGAGGCCTGAACTACAGTACGTGTTTTTTTTTTGAGAAAAAAAGGGGAAAAAAGTTGCGTGTTTGCTTGCAAAGTTGCGTCGTCTGCGGCTGCGATATCTGCACTGGCACGTTTTCGTTTTTCCCTCCACGTTTTATTGGGCCGGCCGGCCGGCCCGCCTGCTCCTGCGTGTATTAATGCTTGAGCTCGGGTACGTACGTGTAGGTGTAGCGTGTACACTGAACAAATATACGTATATAGGTACTAGTTCAACATCAGCTGTAGATTCCCGGAAACAGGCCCACCACCGGGATCGGCCATTTGAATCGTGGCGCGAGGATCGCCAACAATTCGATCTCGGCTCGATCCCTAGACGTTGGCGAATGGTGATGGGTTGAATTGAACGCATGCGTGGTGCGTGCGCCCCCGATCTTGCAGCCAAACGGCCAGAAGACCCAGCCAATGAAGACACGTGCAGTCGTGCACACAGCTAGTACTAGAAATGAAGCGGCCGGGGGTGATGATGGATGCATGAGTCCACAGTCCACTGATCCACTCCCGGCTGATTGAGTACGTAGCACGCGCATCGTCGTCGTCGTCGTCGTCCATGATGTAGCAGTGGTATGTAGGGGGCGTATTAAACCGCCCCGTGTGCACGAGTAAATGTGCCGCGCGGTCTTCACGCGTTCGCTATGACCCACGACGGGGCGGACGCACGCACGCCCGCGCGCGCTCTCCTGGCCTGCTGGCGGCGTCGCGACGGCCTCCGTCCGTCGCCGGCCCAGGCATCGATCGGGTGCCTCCGTTCCATCCCATAGACCCATACGTACGAACGCTTGCGTGACTGCAGATGATTCTTGTCTTCTCCGTCGTCCGGCCCTGTCCATCTGCTGCATGCAAACATTTCCAAAGCTACGCGTACCCGCGTCGTAAAAACTCGGGACGACGGCGAAGTGACCATGCATCGTCGTCATCCATGATCCATGCGATGGCTGCCATATGATTGCCGGCCGGCCGGCTCGACGGACGACGATCAATGGCGCAGGGGGGGTAGTGCGCAACGACATTGATGTGCCGGATCGGAGTCAGGAGGGGCTTCAAAATTCGATCTTGTGCTTGTAGTAGTAGAATTAAAATCCTCGATCGGGAATATTGAAGTGCATGCACGTGACGCGCGCGGTGTGTCTGCACTACGCTCCATGCTGAGGTACGCGTACGCACGCACACGACGAAGCACGTTGGGAGTGGTGGAGCCGTGCACGAATGCCACGCATGAATTCCGATCCGATCCGTCGTGGCCGACACAGGATCTCGATTCGGAGCCAGGAGGGGCCAGCAGGGCTTGCGGCCGGGTTGCAATTGCAATCATCGTCAGCGAGCATTCATGAATAGGGGTAGTATCTATCTGCTGGCTTCATACAGGGGAGCCGCCCCGGCCGGCCCATGCATGCATAGCTCATGCGTGCATGCAGCATGCGAGGGTGGTTTGGAAAATTTTGAACGGCGCGCCATACGGATGGAACTCGCGCGCGGCGCGCGTACGCACGTAGGTGCTGCGCCGAGATTGGTTTGTTATTATTAAGCTTCGCCTCGTTAATTGGGGGTACACGGTACACACTCCCCTACTGCTGGACTGTACCGTCGCCTAGGCATGAATTAATGGTGCCATTTGCGAATTGCCATGCTGCTGTAAAAAAATGCCTGCAAATTTAATGTACGGTAATACTCCCTCCTTCTAAGATTCACATGCGCCTAAGCAGTTTTCACCGAGACCAAGGCACGTATTAACTCCTGAGTGCCAACGGTTCAGTTTCCACGCCCCGGACGCCTCTACGCGAAAAATACAACCGTATACGCGCCAACCTCATGCTTGTACGCCCGCGTACCAAACTGGAGCAACGGCCGCGCGCCAAACTCGCACGCCCCGCGTAGTTTGTTTGCTGGCCAAAATTTGAAGCCGATTTCAGTACCAAAAATCACCGCGCTTTACGTATACAACAGCACGCGCCAAAAGCCAATTTGCACCCGAAATTTCGAAGCTATCTTGGCTCTATATATTCCATCGTCCTGGCATAGGTTAAGCTCAACTCTCTGGTAGAAAGACCACAACCACCCACCTCTCTCTAATCCATGGCACAACTAGGATTTGATCTCAACCAAGAACCACCGACGGATTGGGACCTCAATGGCAATCCGATCGATTGGGATGCCATCGACGAGTGGGAAGGTCCTGCACATGAGCTCGATTACCACTTAGCGTGGGACGATGTAGAAAATGGTGACTCCTGAATCAACTTGGACTTATATGCGACTTGATGTATGATATCTTTGAAAGCTCTAGTTTGGTTTTGGTGAATTGATCTAACCTAGTTTATCAAGTGATCATTCTCTCCAAGTGGTGAAGCAAATTCATAGCATGATTTGCTTTCCTAGTTGAAGATCAAGCTCAATGTATAATTTGTAAGAGCTATTTTGATGATCAAGAACAGAGAGGTGCATTTAGGATTGATAGCCGTACTATTAAGAGGGTGAAACTCAGATCGAAATGCGGTTATCAAAGTGCCATAGATGCTCTAACTCATTGCATATGCATTTAGGATCTAGTGGAGTGCTAACACCCTTGATAATATTTGTGTAAATATGCTACCACATGTGCACACTGAGGCGGGATTAGGCGCGCCGGGAAAATGAAATGTCTATTTTCTATTGTGCCGGATACAAAATTCTTGGTGGTTGGCACACTTGAGCAAGGGTGAAGAAGTAAGAGTTGAAATGGAGTTGATCGAAATGATGTTTGGCGTCGGTCTCGACCGGATATTTGAGTCACCAATGACCGGAAGCTGAAAAGGCTGCGTCTCGGTCGAGTATTCTATTCTTCCGGTCGAAGAAAACATGCCTCGGGAGCTTAGTGTTGCATGGCATTGTAGTGCTAGTATTGATATTCTATTCACCCTGCACCGTTGAAATCCGAACAGCGTTTGAAGCTGGTGACGCATGGCATCCATCGGGCGACGGACACTGAGGGCCAATGTCCGGTCAGTATGACCGGAGCGTCCGGTCAGAGCGCGTTTTGCCCAGTGAAGGGGTATAACGGCTCTATTTGATTGGGGCTCTATTTATAGCCCCATGGCCGGCTCAAGGGAGCTCTCTTGCACATTTTCATTGACATAGCAACCTTGTGAGCCTAGCCAAAGTTCTCCCACTCATTTCCATCATAGATTAAACATCTATAATTCCAATGCATTGCTTGAGTGATGCATCTAGAGGCACTGGTGATTAATTTTTAAATTACTCTTGGTGACTTAGATTTGTCCTATTGAGTGAGGAGGTGATTGTGAGAAAGTGGTGAGTGAGGGTTCTTGACCTTTCGGAGCCAATGATTTTAAGATGGCTTGTGTATATCTTGTGATTTGTTATCAAAGACTCCAAGTGAAAACCTCCTACCCTCGGTAAAAATCATTGTGTTCATCATCATTTGACTCCGAGGTGATTGGTCGTTGGTATTCATTATTGTGATTGATTGGTCTCTTGCTCAAAGAAATTTTCAAGCTCTTTAGTGTAGCTAGTTGTGAAATTTGATAGTGTGCCTCGTTAGTCTTTGAGGGTAGTGCAAAGGATGGACATACACTATTCAAAATAGAAGGACAGTACTAGGTGGGATAAAAACATTTTGTTAAGTGTTGTTGTAGAATTTTATTAGGCTAAAGCCATTAGGACCTTTCTGACTAAGAATTGTGGTGAAGTAAAAGAATAGAGATAGACATGCATGGATAGTGCTAGTATTGTAGTATTGATAAATTCTTTCCGCCATTGCTTCGTGTCTTTGCATGCCTGTATAATTATATATGATGATGTATAGATAATTTTAAATTGTGACTTAGATTTGTCCTACAACATTCCATGAAAAGAGGAGATTCTAATGATGATTTTCTCGGTGGGCGTGTCTAAAGTGCAGAAATCTAGAAGCACACTTTATAACTGGTGTTAAAAAACAAACCGACTAAGAATTGTGGTTTAAAAGAAGAAAGGGA